TTACGCGCCTGAATAAACATATATATTTGCAAAAATTGCAACTTAATAATTAAGCTTTTCTTTGTTTTCATCATATATAAATGTAAACTTTTTCCAGACCACAGATTTGCCATTGGCATTTTTCCTTACTTCATATTCATTGCTCTTAATCTTTTAAGCAATTTTTTTTAATTTGGCATCTATTGAAATAATTTTTTTAATATAATGAGGCAATTTAATTAAATAGATATTAGTAAAAAAAATTTATTTAACTTGATAGAATATGCTGAAAGTGTAATAATATCGTTAACTATGCGATACAATGTACTAAATATAATCACATAAAATAGTTTGGTATATGATTGTTATGTAAATTATAAAATAATATATAAAAACGACATGTTATTCTGATTGAAATTTTAAGAATAAAATGTGATAAATAAAAAATGATAATCGGACAAAAAATATTTTTTTTAATGTCCAAACCCAACCCGAGCCTTATGGACAGCATGGGTACAGATAGCTTCTTTTTTTTTACAACTGTGCTGGAAAATATTCCAGTCGTTTATTATCCTTTCATGCTAGCATCGACCCTTTGCTATCTGCGATTTAAATAAAAGTAATGCCATAAATTTTATATTATTTAATGCATTCATATTGGCGTCTATAAAGGAGCCAGGTATTTATTACACAAGAATCTAATAAATTGAAAACCATTCTCATATAATATCGTTTCTATTTAATATCTGTCTGATATAACCCACCATCATATCGTGAAGATCTACTCCACCCATTCCCTCATTATGAAGAATGATATTCCTAAACATGATTTTATGACATTAGTGACTTTCTATGGTATGTAGTAGAGATCTGCAAAGTTAGGCCCGGCCCGAGTCTGACCCGAACGGGCTTCGGGCCTATTTCTATTTTAAATAATCGGGTTCGGGCCGGGCCTAATATTTTTAAAAAAATTTCGGGCCGGGTCGGGTCGGACCTTGGAAATTTTATTAAATATATCTAAATTTAACAATTTTATATTGAATTTTTTATGTAAAATAAAAGTTTTTGATTTAATTTATTGAAACTAAACTCTATATAACATATGTCTTTTATTTTAAGTAATTATAAAAATTAGTTTCTATATTTAAATAAATTCGGGCCTGGCCGGGCCTGTAAATTTACTTAAAATAAATTTCGGGTTCGGGCCGGGCCGGCAAAACTTTGTTAAAAAAAATTTCGGGTTCGGGTCGGCTAAACTTTTTTAAAAAAAATTTCGGGCCGGGCTTGAAAAATTAGGCCCAATGCAGATCACTAGTATATAGGGCAAACACTTTTATTCACTCATGGGAATTTATTAATGTATTGTTGTAATTTAGAGTGCTCCCTTGAAGGGAATTATGAATTCGTCTACAGCTTGCTTCTCTTTAGGTTAGATTTTTTTGAAATTTTTTTTAGTTGGCATATGAGTTAAATTTTGAATAATTTGCTGTATCCTTTATATTTCCTATTTACCATATCTTTGTTATTAATAATATGGGAAAATCTCCATACTAAAAGGAAGCAATTGTGGGGCATAGTTTCCGCTACTTGTGGAATAGATGTTTCAACCAGCCAATATGTTGTATAGAATGCATCTTAACTAAGCTAGTGTATAAGTGTGTATCCTAATAATTTTTTTAATTTCATTGCTATCTGTATTTATATATACAACATTGGAAAATAAATTATGTTTCTGATACAAAATTGCTAATAATCTGGTTGTCGAAAAATTTAAGAAAATAGGTTAGAGGAGTTCAATCATGTTCAGGAATTTCCAAAATAGGAATAAACTCTGTATTCATGTTTTCAATGTCTTTTTTAGACCAAAAAAGGTTATCTTTTATTTTAGTTGTAGCAGCATCTTCGATTATATTCTCCAATTCAAGACCTAGTTCATTTGTAATATAAGATGATGTTGGCAAATCATCTGTCAGCTAAGAATAATAATTGTCTTCTTCGTCTGAGCTCTTTATATCAGCCTCAGATATAACATCCTCAGGGATAACTGTAGTAATATCTAAATGCATATTGATATTAAAAGCATCTCATATTACATGTTATTTATATAAAATATTTAATATGAACTTCCTTTATCCAAGAAAATTCCCTAGTAGACATTAGATAATCAATATAAGTTATCAAAATCTAATCAAAATGCCCCCCCCCCTCCCATTTTCATAACCCTAAATCTGAATATACTAAATAATTTACCTAAAATTTCCATTTATTTATAATAAAATATTTTAGTGTAAAAGAAATGGCCATTGATGCCAAATGGCATTATGCTCTATTTACAGCACTAAAAAAGATGATAATTTTTATAAAAATATTTTTATATATTTATATATTAATAATAAAATTAATATTTATATTTCTGGCAATGTAACCAGAAATATAAATTAAAATTTTTGTGCAAAAATGGTATAAAAATATTGATTCAATGACTTTCGGATGCATCTAGGGATTGATGAGAATACAATGCAATGTAGAGGATAAGAATGGGATTTGTGAGTGATACAATGAAATGAATAAAAAGAATTACATTTTTCACAACGCAAGGTATTATATTTTTTTAAACAAATGAAATTTTTAATTTATAAAATTAAGTGGGAATTTTTATAATGGATAAAATATAATTAGATATTGAGAAAAATAGATGACAAGATTAAATATTGCTAAATGTATAAATTTAAAATGATTCTGTAAATATATGTGAAATAATGTATTAAAAAGGATAAGGATTTTTGATTTTTTTCAATTTGAATAAAAAGAGTTCAAGAGCTAGATATTTTTATGGTCATTTTGATGAAATAGAAATAAAATTTGTTTAAATTTAAGTCAGTGGATAATTTTATTGTCATTTTGATGAAATAAAAATAAAATTTATTGAAAATTAAGACAGATTTCATATGTATATAAAGAGAGTTATTTTAATTATGGGAAGGGTTTTTTTTTCCGAGTATGTACTATATTTCAGGGTTATTAATTTAAAATTTATTAAAATAAAATTTAGAAAAGGGGTATATTGGAATTATAAGGGTACAGAAGTAGAGAATAGTGTGATAAAAGTGGAAAATTTGTTATAAAAATATATGCAAAATAAAAGTGTGAATAAAAATTGGTGAATAATTATGGTGATGATTAAAATTTTTATGGGTGTTAAAAATATATAATAGATTTTTGTGCTGAAATTATTAATTTTTATATATGAAATTGGAGCCTTTAAAAAGATGGACATGTGTGTTGATTCATTTTTAATCTATTTTTAATTAATATTGATTTATGGTGAATATAATGCAATTTTAATTAGGGTGATATATTATGTAAGTCATAAGTGCATATATATATATATATGTGATATATATTTGAATGTAAAGTTATCATTAAGATGTGTTTGAAATGATAATTTATAAATCATGTAAATTAAAAAAATTTCCGTTTTTATTAGATTGTACAATATTTCCTGTTCAACAATTATAATAATATGTTTTTTTAAACAATTAAGATTTGTTTTTTTTGTGAAAATCAAAATATTCTATTTAGTTACATATAATCTATATAGTTTTAATAGTGATTATGTCATTAATTGTGAATACAAAACAAAATTGTAGTTATACATAATATATGTCATTTTCATAATGATTATAGTTTTCATCATGATTATGTCAGTAAAATTTTTTTTTATGTTACCAATGCTTAATGATTATTTTAAAAATATTACATCTGATTTTTTTTAAAGCAAAATTTTTTTGATACAAAATATCACTATATGATTGTTAATCTTTGATAAAGAAATATATCCTTGTGTTTTATTTAACTCATGATGTGAGATGAAAAATGATGACCAAGAGTCTGAAAAGATTATATCAAATAACTGATGAGAAATGAAACAAATTTGGGAAGATTATATGAAAAATATCTTAAAAATTAAATAATATATTTTTTTTTAGAATGTAATATGTGGCTTCTAAAGGTGGGCGTTTTGTATTTTTGTTATATATTTATATATATATTATATGAAATGCCAATCAAAAGTGATCTTTCAAGGGAGTTGTGTTGTCAAATGGTCTTTTGTTCAAGAGTTTATACTTAAATATTTTTATATTATGATTATGATTGTAAGATTAATATAATTAATGGGAATAAGGTTAATTTTTTATGATACATATATTTGTTTGTATATTTTAGAGTATGTGTTAGTGTTAGATGTTTAAAATTATATATATTTATATGCACTTATCATTTACATAATATATCACCCTAATTAAAATTGCAATATGGTTTTATATAAATTATATTCTGTAACTATTCACCATAAATCAATATTAATTAAAAATAGATTAAAAATGAATCAACACACATGTCCATCTTTAAAGCAAGTTAATGATAAAATATGAAATATTAAAAATATGATTTCAGAAGTTATCATTGGTTACATATAAAATTTAAAAAATTATGATTCCAAGAGTTATCCATGGACATAAAAGGGTAAATATAATAGGAAATAATAGGTTAAAAATGAAAAATTTATTCTAGATATTTGTAAAAAAAATCAAGTGAAATTTCAGCCATCCCAACATTACATTCCAAAAATAAATTAAAAAAGAATTTGCAATTCAATATTAAAAAATAATTTGTTTTAGTTTCAAAAAGATTTACCCTTTATAAAATCTAGTCAATACTTTGTTTGATTTATTTTTCCATAAATTAAAAACATAATATATAAATATTTTGATGATTTTGAGTTTTATAAAATTAATATTATGCATATTTATAAATAACTTTCCTAATTTTTGCATATAATTTTAAAAATTATGTTACATTTAAAAATGATATAAATAAAAATATTGCATTTTACATAATTGGCAAGACTAATTTTAAAAAATCAAATTTTAATAATTATTTAATATAATTTAGTGTAATACTTGTTTTTATAGAATAAATACTAAGAAGGATATCAGAACAATATATAAAATAATAAATGGACGGTGTGCTCCTGCTACATTACAATGGTCTGTATTGCAGCAAAATGTTTTCATTACATCTTAATTTAAAAAATATTAATTGCATAAAAAAATAAATAAGCTACCTCCTTCTTCTTGTGCATAACATAATGGACTGCATCCCCGAGCAGTATAATATTTCTTATCTGTTCTGTAAACAGTTTTCTATTGTTTATTTTATGAAGAGGTATTTATGAATGTAGTAAAATGCGTATTTCATTACCCGACAAAAACCATTACATATTGATTCTCCCACTCCAATTTTTTTTTCAAAAGGTTCTGGACAAGCTGCTTGTGCTGGTGGACCACCATATAATTTTTCTAATGCGCCAGATGTTGGAAACGTGCCACAACTATAACATTTGACATATCCATTAATCGGTTCTAATTAGATTTAAATAATAATATATAACGTTAAATTTACTATAGCATACGAATAATATAAGTATACAAAAAAAAATCATAGTATCGATAATGTGGCAGGTAAATTTAGAAAGAAAATAAAGTTATTGATATTTAAAATAGTAGTATAAGCTGACGTTAACATTTTTTGACAGATTATAATAAAGGAGCAGGAAAAAATTGTAATATTAGAATTTGTTGGTGTTGTATATATAATAGACCAAAGCAGCATATATAAACTTAATAATAATTTATAAAATATAACATAGGTCTTATTGGTATTAAATACAATTTTAAATTCCTAAATTTGTATTTTTAAATGTACTAGTAGAAAGCCCGTCAAAAATGACAAATGAGATTTTTATTCATTTTTTACAAAAGATTTCATGCCAGGTTCAAGCTCACAATAGTAGGAAGCATTCAAGATCTTATAATTTTAAAAAAGTTTATCAAGCCCAGCAAATGATTATATCATTGAGCTCAGTTTAACTCTTAATAATTTGTAAAAGATATTCCCAAGTCAGGTGCAAGCTAATATTAATTTTGAGGTTCCAAGCCCAGTCCTACTCATTATAATTTTGAAAAATTTTTTCCACCTCGGAGATAGTTATCTGATTTACCAATTAGTCTAATATGCAAAAAAAAACATGTAAATTCCGTATTAAGGGAAACTGGGAAGGCCTGGGCAAACCACTTATTAGAGAATCATGACAAATAAAATTAAAACAACCGACTCTTATACTTTTTTATAATATGATCAATTAAAATTATATCTAAAAACTAAATTGTTGTTTATTATATAGGGTTATTTTTATTTTTCAGATAAATTTAATGTATGTCTTGCATTTCCAAAATTATTTGTCAAAGAATTTGATAAGGGATATATATATTTTTATGTTAAGTAAAAAAAGTATGCAATCTATTTAAATTACAAAAATGCCATTAAACACTAATGAAACTTATATGCAAATTATTTATATATTTTTTAAGATATTTTTTTTTATTGAGAAATAAATTTAAGATAATTTTTTAAAAAAATAATGAGGATTATTAATTATTATGTATTTGATAAAATTAAGAACAAATCCGACATTTTAATTTTTGATGGAAAAAGTGACAAAATAAATCTGGGCTGTCGTCTGGATGAGGAAATAATTAATGTATAATTTCATATCATTTAGGGTTGTTAGATGAAAGTAATGACGGATTAACAAAGCAGTGTATACAAAACACATTACGTCCTGATAAAGATGATATGCCTATGCTTTGGGATACTGGTAAAAGAAGAACGCAAGACGATATTTCTGTCAATGTCAGCATTGGTATCCCCCTCTAAAATAGAATCATTAACGACCATGTTAACTCAACCATAAAACGGTCGTAGGTATTGTTATAAAGGTTACGACAGAACTACTGCATATTTTTCCAATAATAAAGTTGATGAAAATTGGCCGTATTGTACATTCAAGTTTGAACATTCCTCTAAAAATTCATGAAAGTTTCTCAGAGAATCGGATGAATAAATATTTATATTAACTCCTAATGAAGTGAATGATAGTACGGAATTAAATGCTTATATTTGTTATAAAATAGGCAGAGGTGGCATAGGGATTGTGGTAGTGGTGATAGAAATATCATTTGGAGAACTGGGTGAAAATAAAATAAACATAAGATAAAAAAACAAAATAAACCTCCAGAGGAGTTCATTTCAAGCGTAGTTCTTTATTATTTTGGCTACCAATATCTCTAGAACGGGTAAGGCGTTTGTTTAATCGTCATTATTTTCTTTGCTTATCTTTAATAATAGATTCATCATGTTTTGTAGCAATGTGAGGGATTAGGTTGGGTTAGCCTAGACAAATAAAGAAATCAGGCAAAAATATAAATAAACTATTGTTGAAATTAAACAAACATTAAAATAATGTAAACCAATAGATGGGTCAATATTAGATGCATATTTCTAGCAGTTAAAAGGCTATCATCAAAAAAAATTTTTGGGGGACTTATCCAGCCTATTATGATATTCTAAAGGTTTATTTTGCATTTGTTCATTATTAATGACTGATATATCAATATTTGAACATTTATAATAAGGAAATAAGATGGGGATAGTTTTCTAAAGTAAAAAAAAAAAAAATCTCAAGTTAATTTTATAAGGTAGGATTAGAATAAAATACCATTCTGAGAGACCAATTGGCAAACTCCTTGTGAATAGGTATAGATTAATTTAAATAATATATAAATACCGTAATATTTTTTTTTGGAATAATATAAAATCCTAAAAATAGAAAACTCCGTTTAGTATTTTTTATTGAAAGAATAAAAAGGAGTATTGTTAAAAAAAGGTAGGATCCTTAAGAATAAAAATTTCATTTATTTGAATAAAAATAAATATTGTAATATATATTGATTTTTTGGAATAGATATAAAATCCTATATAAAATTATTTATAATAAAAATAATGTACTATGTATATTTTTTTGAGCATTATACAAAATATTCAGCAGGGATAATAGAGCAATGGTGTATCCGACAAAATGGTAAGCTTTTAAAAAAGTAGGATCCTTAAAAATTGTTATATTAATTTAGTTAAATATTAAAAATGTACTTTGTATATTTTTCAGTTAGTTAGACAAAATATTCATCAGAGATAAAAGGGCATATTGTGCGGCCCGCCAAAATGGATAGCCTTAAAAATGCGTAGGATGCTTAAAATAATATAAATTTTATTTAATTATAAAAAGTAATCGATTTTTTGGAATAGATATAAAATCATATATATAATTATTTATAATAAAAATAATGTACTATGTATATTTTTTTGAGCATTATACAAAATAATTAGCAGGGATAATAGAGCAATGGTGGATCCGACAAAATGATAAGCTTTTAAAAATGTAGGATCCTTAAAAATTGTTATATTAATTTAGTTAAATATTAAAATTAATGTACTTTGTATATTTTTCGGTTAGTTAGATAAAATATTCATCAGAGATAAAAAGGCATATTGTGCGGCTCGACAAAATGGATAGCTTTAAAAATACTTAGGATGCTTAAATAATATAAATTTGTTTAAATTATAAAATAATATCAAATGCTTAATGATTTTTATACTTTTTTTGTACTATGATCAAGGTTATAATTATATTTTGATTTTATTAATTTATAAAATGTATTTATAAAATAAATACTATTTAAAAATAAATTAAGACTGTTGGTATTTTATTGAGTAAATGTATAAAATATTAATGATGATATAAATAATTTGTAATATTTTGTAAAAAAGATATATTTAATGTATTACTTTGATATCCAATACTCATGAATATTGTAATATAATGTTATAATGTAAATATTATGTACATTTATAATTATTTTCACTAATAGCAGCTTCTTGAGTAATAATGCTTAATGATTTTTATACATTTTTTGTACTATTGGAAAAAATTTCCAAGCATCCAAGATCTTAATAATTTTAAAAAATTTCTCAAGCCCTCCTCAATCCTTAATATTTTTGAAAACCAAGCCAATATTAATTTTGAGAAATATTTTTTAGGCCTATTCCAATCCATAATAATTTTAAAAAATTTTTCCAACCCAGAAGATATTAAATTTATAATTAAACCCAGTCCAACCCTTAATAATTTTTAAAAATTTTTCTTAAGCCTCGAGATATTAAATTTATAATTAATGAATGGGAAAATGAGTTATTACTGTTCTGCGGTAATATTACAAACGTACATGAAAATATAAGATTATAAAAAAAGACTGTTAAAATATAAAATGGAAAATACACAAAGAATCATGACAAAATCAGGTCTGCCCTAATATTATTATAAGAAATAACAAATATTACCTAGTATTATTGGAGATAACTCCAAAAATTAAGTTATGGAGAAAAAATCTCTGATGTACAAGTTAAATTAAATTTCCATATAAAATATTAATAATTTGTAATATTTTGTAAATAGATATATTCAATGTATTACTATGACATCCAATGTAAAATTTTGTAATGTAAATTATAAGAATATTTAAGGTTTTAATATGGCATCCTACAGCTGCATAGAAAACTTAAGTTATAGGTCATCTGTTTGTTTAGAAAAAAAATATAATAAATAATAAGTTGTAATATTTTGTAAATATATATATATTTAATGTAATACTCTGATATCCAATACTTGCATAGGTTTTAAAATTTTTTGATGATAAATTATAAGAATATTTAAGGTTTTAATATGGCATCATACAGTTGCATGGAAAACTTAAGTTATAGGATCATCTGTTTGTATAGAAAAATAAATAAATAAATAAAATCAACAAATAAAAAAATATAAATAAATAAGTAACGATGACATGACGAGCGATTACATGACGAGCGATTACATGACGTCACGATGACGTAGTGAGAACATCTGAAAATTATAATACAGATAATATAATAGAAAAAGTATTTTTAAAATTATAAATAACATTTTTAAAACTAATTTTTTATATAGAACAATTTAAATAAAAAAATATGTAATGTATAAACAAATATAACTATACAAAATATATATTAATGGTTGTTTATTTAGTATTTTATTAGTGATTAGCGATTTATTAATTAAAAGAGTACATAAATAGGAGTGTAGTGTCATTTTGGGATTTGTAAATCGACTAATTCTTTTATTTACCATTATAAAAATGCACATTTTATTTAATTGAGAAACCCTGCACAAATGGCGCCACAACGGAATCCTATCTTTGAATGTATATGCATAGTTGGGTAGTACCGCGAATACTTCTAAAATATAAGATCCTTTTGTATCTTGTACTCAGTATCCTTTTGACATTTATAATATGATACTAGTATCTGTATCTAATATCCCTTCTTCTGAGAAAAATCTTGTATCCTTTTAATTTCCTTGATAAAAGATAGGTACAGATTATTTTTAATATTCATGTTTAAAAAATTTACATATAATAGAATATAACTTTATTTTCTTGTTGAAATCTTGTAATAATTTTCTTATTTTCTTTCCGCTATATTTTAAATATTTTGACATCCATTAGCTGAATAATTTACATCTCACATTAAAATAGATAAAAAAATGATGGTTTGGATAAAAGTTTTGGGAAAT